CCCCCCCCCCTCCCCCCACCCCAATTTTTTCCTTGGCAGGGCTTCAAACTAACTAGGAGAAGTATGTGGAGATCCTCACCTAGCTGGCAAGCTGTTTCAGCTAATCGGCATCCTTCAGCTGGACATTTCATGTCTAATCAACAAAGTCTTGGCCTACAGCTTGCACAGCTTAGTAGAGATGCTTCTGCTGCTGTGAGTTTCTATTGCAAAAGAACTGATTGTCATTTTTTCTTTCTCTGTAATTTCTTTCAAAAAGAGCTTTGCCATGCAGTTTCCTGTTTTTGTTAATGGAACTGTATTATCTCAGGGTGCAGCTCGCCGTCTGACCACACAAAGGAAGAACATGGTAGAGATTGAATCAGTTGGGGCTGCTGGGAAATCTGATAGCAACCGGGTGAAAAAGTATTTTCGAATGGAGGTAAAGAAAATCCTCACTACTGACATGCTTTCAGGAACAATTTTGATTGGTTTTAATTGTGACAAGAATGATCTTTAATGGCTTTTTAAAGCTAGAATTTAGGAACTTTGAAGAAATAAATTTAGCATTGGAATTCAGTATAGTGAATGCTAAGTAAAATTACTTTTAGAACTAGATTTCAGTGCATGAATGTGGTTGTGTTTTGAAAATGGACTTTGCATTGGATATTTTATTGATGTTCTATTTCTATTATGTTTTTGGCTTCAACCTAATTGTCCTTGTTTTCATGTTGTGCTCTTGTTTGCTTTCATGACTTGTCTATTTTGCCCCTTCCTTTTTTGCTCCATGGAAGGAGAACTAAGCACTGATTTAATGTATTTTTCAGTTTCTGGACAAGGAGCAGGAGGATACAGATGAGGATCTGGATTTTAGAGCACTCGAAAATGGATTTGTAAGTCATAACATTGTATTTTCCACATTGATGATGTGTGTCAGTTGTTCATCTAGAAACTGTGCAAGAATCAGTCGGAATGCTCACAAGGCATTGGGAGCCATCATCATAACAAAAGTTATGATTGGCATGGCTCTTACTTTTATGTTTTCACAAATGATGGTTCACCCCTAGCATTATATCCTAACACCAAACCTGGTGAACTACCACTGTGCCTTTACTTGAGTTGCGGGCTTATGCAGACTAACAAAAATATCCGGGCCTTATGAGCACTTGCAGCACTTGAGTTGTCTATGGGAGGGCTAATAAATTCTGTTCAAAATTCTCTCAACTTCTAATCTAACTATGAAAACTTGCAGAACTTTGATTGCTTTGGGTTTTAGTAGGGCTTCTTACTGTCTTTATTTTCCTTTGGAACACCAGGTTGCCATAACTCCCCTATCACTTTCTATCGAAGAGGATGCTCACTTAGCAGCCTCAGATTGGATCTCTTCCGCGCTTCATGTTGACCAATAAAAGCCTCCTCTCCCCATTCATCTAGTCGATAATCTTGTATACTTTTGCAGGCGCGATTGTGTTAATCAGTGATCAATCACATTATTGTATTTCCTTTTCTACAATGACCTTTCTTTTTTGGTGGGGTTGGGTGGTTTGCATTTGTAGTTGTTAAAACAAATGTAATTTAAAATGGCCAGGTCTTAATTACATGACCTTGTCTTTTCCACTAATTGTGATTTCCGGATTTGTATCTTCTATTTATTTCTCAAAGCTGCTTTGTGTTTGTGACACTAGAGGGTGATATTGCAAGTGATTGGATTCTTTGTTGTTGTTACTGTTGTTGCTGCTGCAGCTGCAATGATTCTGCTTCTGCAAGCACCACCATCTGTGGCATGATCCTTCTGAAATATGGCTTAGCTTCTGATTGTGTTTTGACTATGAGATTTATGTCTGCCTTGTTTCAGAAATTTGCACTTCCATTTTTTGTTTTTGAGCTGCAAACACACTTGTCACCAATTGGAACAGCTAAACTTGCGTGATTTTCCTTCGAACTGCGAGAGCACAGCCAATCACTGCAACGATTTTTTTTTTGTTTTTGGGGGGGGTTTAGGGTGCGATAGTCTTGTACCAATCAGACAAATAATATTTATCTTTCTAGTTTCGGGCAAAGGGCAAATCAAGCGACCTCATCCATCATAAAACTGAAGAATTCACAAGAAATTTACTGTTAAATAACAGGTGTCTTCAAGCTTTAATACAAGATGAGGTTAGCTTGTGTCATTTTCAATCGAAAACTGATTTTGAACTTCTATCCAATACTGAAAATTCAAAAGCTACTTTGTGAAGTGTTTCCAACTTTTCAAGCTTTCTAGTTTGTGGTTTCTTATATTATCCGCAACTCTTAAATCAAACACTCGCTGCTGTCGTAAAGCATGGATAACCACAATCATATAGCAACTTGTTATATAAACCAAGTCTTGTATAGAATATTAAAACATCAATTCTATCTTATCTCATCTTGTATATCATTATCATTTGATTTCCATCGTATATCCTGTTTTATTTACTTTGTTTTGTTTCGTCTCATCTTTTTCCTATTGTTTTGTATCATTTATTTTGTGTCAAGACATAAACCAAATGAAACCTATTGATATCATACTAGATCATTGCCCATGTTAGTAAGTTAAATTAATTTTTTTTAATGTAAAAAACAATTATAAGATTGATAACGTGTTTTCTTTAAAAAAAAAACTATAAACTCAAAATATAATCTATATTAGACAAAATATTTTTTAAATATTGATATGGTGGCTTATTGGATGATACTTTTAAAAAAAATATTGAGACGTCACATATAAGATCAACCTAGACTAACTTGTTAAATTTGAGACCCTAGGCATGAAAATATGATAATTTTATAAAAAAAATTTAAATAAATTATGAATGTTAAATTCTAATCAATCTATTATTGAAGAATAAAACTGAAAAAAATTATTAAATTAAAAAAATAACTCAAGTTAACTTGAGTTAACTTATCAAACCTGCGATCCGGGTCATGAGATTATGATAACTCTATATAAAAAAAAAACATACAAAGCCCAATTTAAAACCAATCCAATGTTCAAAGATAAAATAAAAAAATCTATAAAAAAAGACAAAAAAAAAGAAGAGCTAAAGTCAACTCGAACTAACTTGTTAAACTTGTGATCTAACTAGCTAAAGTCAACCCAAACTAACTTGTTAAACTTGTGATCTAACTCATTAGATCATGTAACTTCATAAAAAAAAACTAAAAAACATTATGAAGCTACATTTCAAATGAATTCAATGCTGAAAGTTGAAATCAAGAAAAAAAAACTAAAAAAAGAAGAATATTAGGTTGTTGGAAGGTCAAATTGAGAAAAAAATCAATTAAAAAATGATAAAAAAAATTTAAGTCAATTCACCAAATTTGTCGTTGAGTCATGGGGTGTGGCTCAAGTCATGGAGTAGGGTAACTCTATTAAAAACAAATAAAAAAAAAAACAATTTCCAACCAACTCAATGTGATGCAAACCTTGTGATTATGTGGTTACGCAACTCATATCAAGATTGATAATAAATTTTAGAAAGTCGAAACAAGTCTGATAAAAATGTAATACAATGAAAATTTGTCCCAAGGCACCATCACCAATAGAATAAGAACTCCTACCCTATGAATATCAATTCATGAATAAAAAGTATAAGAAAAACGTCATAAAACCAATTGATATTTGATAAATTAGTTTCAATTCTTCAAAGAACTAAAGAATGCGAGACATCCTCCCAACACTTAGAACAATAGTTCAACAACAATATTTTATCATAAATCTGAATAAAAAGTATCTTACAAAGAGTTTCTATACTCCAAACAAAAATACCATAATGGATTTACCTTAGTAGGTTGACTTGAACCCACTTATCTAAGATGCAGGCTGATATGAAGCACAATTATAACTAGACTCGAAATTTAATTGAATAAACCCAACTAATTTTATACAAATCCAAAACACTTGAAAATTAAAATTAAAATTAAAATTAAAATAAAGATTCTTTATACTACCTCAAATAACCAAAGAGAAATAAAGAAAAATGTCTAATTTTTCTAGTTTAAAAAGATTTTATAGTTGAAATAAACCTTCCTTGTGACTCTAAAAAGAGTTGTCACCTCTATATATTCTAAATAGACTAGGAGAATCTGATCAAAAAGTGAAATTAATTTTGTGGCCTCTTATTTTTTCTTGTAGAGTTAGGTTTTCTTGTAATATTTGGAGAATAATAAATACAAATGTCTTTCTTTGTTGTTGTCTTATTAGTTTACTTCCTAGCTTAGGAATCAAGCCTGGCTAAAATCTTCATTTAATTAATAGGAGAATATTTGCTAACTAGAAATCCTTATAACATTAGAAAATCTTGACTAAACAAGATTGTCATAAGACTGGACATATCAAACCCATGTTGAACATGAATTGGGCTTAGATTAAATGGTCTAGAACCTTTTGTCGATGCTCCAAAGCATCTTTAAAATCAACCTTCGGTAGAACCTTCATAATAAGTTCATTCATTGCCTCCTTCAATGCTTTTGTCTTAGACTTTGTGATTAAACAAATTTAAACATGTAATGGATTATTGATGGTGTTTGCGGGTTGATTCATGTTACAATATTGAAGGATGAAAGTGAAAAAAAAATGAATTAAAAAATAGCTTAAAAAAATAGTTTGAATCAACACGAGTTGATATGTTAAACCCATGAATTGGATTAAGAAATCAAGATAAGTTCATAAAAAACAATTTTTTTTTTTTTTACAAAGCTCACACTCTCAAGAGATCTAATGTTAAAGGTTGAATTAAATTTTTTTTTATAAGACTGATATATAACCTAATAGTTATAAAATAAAAAAAAACAAATTACAAAGGATTGATCTATTAAACGTATAATTAGGGTCTTGATATTTAAGATAAATTCATAATAAAAAAAATAAAAATTACAAAACTCCACTTTTAACATATTTAATGTTGAAAGTTGAAATAAAAAAATAAAATAAAATTCATGAGACCAATATATAACCCAAAAATTTAAAAAATAAAAAAATTACATTGCATAATTTCCAAAATAACTTAATATTGAAGGATAAAATCAAATAAAAAAAAACTAGAAAAAAGAAGAGGGTTGAGTTTTTGAAGGTTGACATTGTAAAAAAAAACCTAGAAAAAAGTAAAATAAAAAAAACACAAAAAACTATTCTAATGAATAATGCTACATCAATATATTACTAAAAATTATAAAATAAAAATAAATCATGAAGGGTTTACTTATTAAACTTGCGATATGAGTTATAAAATTGAAATAAATTTAGAGAAAATAAATTGAAAAACATTTACGAAGCTTCACTTCTAATAAATTTAATGTTAAAAGTTAAAATTAGAGAAAAAACTAAATCTATGAGATCAATATAGAATTTAATAATTAAAAAATTAAAAAATAATCTAAAACACAATTATCAGAAAAACTAATATTGAATAATGAAATAAAAAAAATAAACAATAAAAAATAAAAAATAAAAAATAAACAAAAAAATAGTATTATAGTGTTTTATGAATGTAGTTAATGTGAATTAGTCACACTTTGTAATTTTATTTATTTATTTATTTATTTTTATTGTTAATGTAAATGTTAATCTTAAAGTCAATGGCAATCGGAGAGAAGAGTGTTGAAAAAAAAAAAAACAAAGAAGACTGGTAGTAGGCCCAAAGATAAGAAATAGTGACACAAAAATAGGTCCATTGGGCTAAATGACCACAAGAAAAGCAAATCTAACACCATTTTCGCTTAGGGTTTAGTTGAGTGGTGAAGCCGAACAAGCAGGCATCTCCGTCTCTCCCTCTCCGGAAGGAAGAAAGGAAAATGGCGACCAAAAACTTAATTCGAGCAGGAGCATCCCTAATGAACAGATTGATGATATCGAAGAACCCAATTTTCCATCAAAACGCAATCTCCACTCACCAAACTTTAACTCCTCACCTTTTCCCTTCTTCTGTCTCCAACATCGAGCAAACCGACTTCCTCTCAATCACTAAACTTGCAGTTACCAATCAAGACTTCTTGCATCCTTCCGGTCTCCCCTCTCTCGAATTCTTCTTGCCCGACGGTACTTTACTGATTTATTATGCTTTTCTGATTTATGGGTTTTTACTCTCTTCAAGCAATAACTTTACTTTCTAGGTGCCTGCCAACTGTTTGATAATATGCCACAATTTTCTCTCTCTTGCTTCTGTTTCTCTCTTGATAAATATCCGGCCTTCCCTTTGCCGTAACTGCTCTGCCTTGTGCATGTTTTGCAGGAGATTCATCTACTGAGCCTATGCTCTTGTTTCCTAAGAGGACATACCAGCCTAGTGTCATCAGGCGCAAGAGAAAACACGGGTTCTTTGCACGGTCTCTCTCTTTCTGTCTCTAGCTTTGTAATCCATTTTCTATTAGAATTAGAGAACCTAGGAAGACACTGCTAACATCATTCAACATTTTGGGTAGAGAAATTTGATTAGCAGAGGCTATGGTTTGATTTCGATGGAAACACACTGTTTTTCTTCTATTAGGAAAATTCAATTATTTTCATTTGACTGGGTGTGATTTGGAGTGCATATTCATCAGAATATGGGAAAGGGGAAAGCATGACTTGAATATGAGTGTAAAAAATAACAGCTGGATTTCATATTCATCCCAAGGATAAATATCGATAAATTGTAAAAGCAGTTTTATTTTATGTGCTCTTGGATTTAAGAAGGGTTGAGTAATGGTGTAAAACTTATAATTGACATGCTTAAGTAAATCTTTAGTCATCTCGGCAAACATTTAGCATTTAGTTAACAACATGCTATGCTCAACTGCTTGGCTTATTTTTAGAAAAATACAAAAATGACAACATCTATTACTTTGGTTGATTTGGTACAAGACTAAGAAAATACATTTTTATGATGTATAATTGTTTTTTTTTCTTTTTAAAAAAAAGCATAAGGGGTTTGGTTGACCCACTGAACTCTACTTAGCTCTGATTCTATATTTGTGGCTCATCGTGTGGGGTGAAGAACAAACTTGACTTCCCTCGTTGCAAATATTTTTTAGGTTAGTTAAACCATAGAGAGTGCATTACTTTAAGGTCTAGCTGCCAAGCATGTATCACATGTCCCCTCTTGGACTGATACTGTTTTTTTTTTCCCTTCATGTACATGTTTGTTAAATGAACTTGTTGAACTAATTAGACTTGAATCATGATTTATGCAATATATGAGCAGCAAGGCAACCAAGGGTGGTCGGAGAGTAATTGCTCGGAGAATAGCAAAAGGCCGGTCAAGAGTTACTGCTTAGCTTCTCTATCTATGCATTGTGATGTGATGGGAGACAGGTTTGCCAGCAAACTTTGTTTCTTTTTATACCATGCAGTTTGTGGCCTGCCCATATGCTTTGTAGGAAAGTCTCAATGCATTTTAGAATCCGTACTCTTCCATATAATTTTTTCCATGAGATTCATGAGCTGAATTATACGCAAGATGTATTTTGAAGTGATCTCCAGGAAAAGTAATTGCGTTCTTTTTCGTTATGTTTTGTACCCAATGGCCTGCAATAATGTTGTCAAGAAGAAATAGTGGTTCTATGTTTCAGTTGCGTTAATGAAATTCAGTTACTTGATTGATAGATGATGCAGACGATATAGGCGGCACCGTTTGGTATTGCATTCCTCGTACTTTTTTAAGTGCATTTTGTATGAAAAAACATCAATGTTGCCGCACAAACTCCGTTAAAACTTACCTCCACAAACTATTTAGCCTGGAAACTTCAATTCATTGGGTATGATCTCCTCAGATTCATTGACGGATCAAATCCTTGTCCCGAAACAATTATTCAAGGAAACCACTACACCTAATCCAGCACATACACCATGGATCAAACAATTCAACTTCTTAATGCCATTCTTGGTTCTCTGTCTCCCACAATAATGTCATTCATTGCTCAAGCAAAAAACATCACAGGAAGCCTGGACAATATTGGCTAATACATATGCCAAACCATCTTGTGGCAGAATCAAGCAGGTGAAAAACCAGTTAAAACAAACCACGAAGGGATCGGATCCATGGGTATTTTTGAGTTCCTCCAGACCATCCAGGCTTGAGCTGATGAGCTTGCCATCCTTGGAGCAGCAGTTGTTGATGAAGATCTCTCGGAAAGAATTCTTGAGGGACTTGGTGACGATTATAAAGAATTGGCTCAGGCAGTTCAAGCACGAGACACTCCAATCTCCTTTAATGAACCACATAAAAAGCTTCTAAACTTTGAAGCCTCTCTCCAAAATACCAACAAAACTGAACAAGCCGACTTCCCTGCCTCCGCTAATCCAATCAATCGTGACTACACTGGCTCACACAACTTGCCACACTCTTCTTATTCCCTTGGCAACAACAAAGGCTATGGTAATCGATTCTCTACCATCTAATAATTCCCGTTCTGATCGCAGCTCTTCCAAGCCTTACCTTAGCTATTGCTAAATTTGCAGAATTCAAGGACATGCAGCTAAGCGTTGTCCCTCTAAATTAATACCAATTGAGACATCCCCAACATGGCTATTGGATAGCGGCTCTTCTCATCATGTCACCTGACTTGAGCAATTTCTTACTTCATGCCCCATACAATGGCTCTGACGATATTATAATTGGAGATGGCACAGGGCTTCCCATAACACATACTGGTCCCACTTCTCTTCGCAGTTCCAATGCTCATTTTTCCTTAACCAATGTTCTCTGTGTACCTAGTACGAAAAAAAAATTTTGATTACAATTTCCAAATTCTGTATATCCAACAATGCTTCAATTGAATTCTTACCGTATTCTTTTCTTGTAAAAGATCTTCACATAGGAGCAACGCTTTTGACGGGTAAAGCTAATGATGGTGTGTATGAGTGGCTGTTATCTTCACCTCTATTTGCCTTTTCCATTGTCAAAACCACCTCCTCCGAATACCATTATATATTGGGACACCCTGCCTTTCCTATTTTAATGCATGTCATTTCTACAAACAAACTCGATTTATCTTCTTCCAGCATCTTAAATTTTTCTTGTAATGCATGTCATTGCAATAAGAGTCACAAACTTTCTTTTTTCAATTCTACCATTACTTCTGATCGACCTCTTCAAATTATCTTTTGAAACGTATGGACTTCACCAATTATTATGATGGCTTTAAGTATCATGTAGTTTTTGTTAATCACTTTAAGTATATTTGGTTTTATCATCTTGTCACAAGGGGTGCGACGTCGTTTGGCGATGGTGGAGGCTCCTGTTGTGTCTCTTGATGAGGGGTGTTGTGTTGGGAAGATTTTATGGACACATTGCACCTTCTCGACTTTTTTGATAGAGCAACAGCCACTGTGATTATTATGCGATGAATTCTTATTACCATGTTTATGTGAACGCAATGCACCTGATGTTTTAGTGCATTTTCCAGCATGATGTTGTGTCCCTCGTAAAAGCAGCATGCTGTTGAAAATCACCAAAAAACATGTACCCGCATCGGCAAGAACAGCTGCAAAAACAAGTGGGTGACCAGCAAAAGCCAAGGCGAGGATAGCAGACTTTGTGGACATGGACATAATCACATTCTCAGTAACTTTCCTATGAGCTTTGCGAGCAAGCCGGATGGCTGCTTTCGGGACTTTTCTAAGATCATTGGGCATAAGAATCCAATGTCCTGTATCTATTGCAAGTGCCGAGCCTGAGATTCCCATTGAAATGCGAATATCAGCGATAGCTAAGGCAGGGGCATCATTCAGGCCATCTCCAGTCATTGCTGTTGGCCCTTCCTTCTTAAGTTCTTTGATAATCGTAGCCTTGCTTTCAGGTAGGAGTTCTGCATGAACTACTTCAAGCGCATGATCTAGATGCACATGGTATTAATTTTACTTCCATGTCAGTTTGAAGTGAAACGCAAATAGACCAGAAAGTAGATATGATTATGGATAAGAGCTTCACCTGTTCTTGTACATACATACCAGCCGCTTCACTATCTCCTGTAAGCATAGCAGTTCTAATGCCTAATGACTTCAGTTCCTTGATGGCCTCTGCAACCCCTGTCCTGCAGCTGTCAGAGAGAGAAAATCCAAGCAAGAGTTGCTCCATAGTACACATATCCAACTGTCTTTCCTGTCTTCTTATCTCCTTCTATTGTTGGCACTATAAGAGCAAAGCACCAAAGCATTTAGAACACCTCGAAAGCCCAATTCTACCAGTTTGTTACTAGGAATCACTGCTACGCCAGCCGGCATGAATATCACCGCTGCAAATCTGAACAATGAACTAAAATGAAAACTTTCCCACAAAATGAAAGGTAGGATTGTCTAGCAAATGGAGCTGACGATTCATTCTAAAAGAATGATGTGAAGGGCTGTCCAAATACTCGTTCTCGGTACTCTACTTCAGTGAAAGTCTATAAAACTGGATGAGTAATTGGACTGCAGTATGCCTAACCTGGAGTATAGTACTGAGAGAAATTTGTCTATGAATCTTTGAGTTTTAGACTTACTGTTTGGAGCTTCTTCCACAAGCTTTGCCATTTTAGCCACCACACAGTCTTCAGCTAAAGCAGTAGTTCTAACACCCCATTATCACCAAAGCCAAAATGCATTAAAAAACAATTCATAGGGTGTAGAGAGAAGTATCGACACCATTTAAGTTAATAGTTCCAACCCACACTACGGACTCCACTTCACAGTTGTCAGTTACCATCAACAACAACTCCATCACTTGGTATAACTTCACCAGCCTTAACTGTAAGAACAGTGTTTAACTTGACCTCATCAGCATCTACTTCTTCCCTAGTTTCGGCTATGACTGCTTTCTGAGGAGATATGCTCATCAATGATGACATCACAGCATTGGCCTGAGACATTGTAGTTTCAGAAGAATTAAGGATCCAACTTTGTATGTATAGTGAAATTCATTTTCATTCTGTAACAGCATCCATAATCAGCAAATTAGTTCTTAGGCTTTCGATGTAGGCAGATACCATGATGGTTATAAACAGCTGCGAGTTGCAGATCTGCCACAACTAGGCAATTTAGAAAGCCTAGCATACTCTTTTATGAATGAGAAGAGCTAGGCTAAAGAACATGCATGATCACACCAAAAAACTAGCCTGACAGAAAAACACAACTTTTACTTCGATTATGGAATCAGGCTCAATGCAATCAAGAGATTCTACAAGCTCAATTATATAGGGGGTCGGTTTGCATGATTTTTATGATTTTTTGTATGAGGTGTAAAAGAAAGCAAAAAAAATATACAAAAAAAAAAGAAGAAGAGAACTTCTAGGCTAGGAGGAGATGGTGGTTGGAAGGATTTTAGATCTTCGATGTCTCAGAAGCTGTGTAGATGGAATATATTCAATAAGTGATGTCTGATTGTTTTGTGTGACGATCAAACTCTAGTGTGAAAAAGCAGAGCCAATATCTTCACGGTTACCATGCGCACAAGCGTCTCCATTCTATTCATTTAGCATGTATAGCGGATAGTAAGATTTTTTTTAAATTACATCTATTTTTTTATTTATTGTTTTTTTATAAATATATTTAACTAACAACAATTTTCTTTTATAAGCTACAGTTTTTTTTTTATGTGAACCAAGCCCGATAGAGCTTTTGTGAAAACACATGTGTAAATTGATGACCATAAAAATGAGGTGCAATAGCTCATGGATAATTGAGTTCAGGGCTTTGTGGTATGTTGTTTTCAACTATTTTTTTTCTTAAATTATTATTTTTAATTGACTTTTTTTTTCAGTATACATATAACATTAGGTTGAAAGAGAGATACGGTGACGATCTTTCAACCCATCCTAATCTCGATCTGGATTTGTGGTTGGAGATAGGATCGTTTGTTGGACTCGATAAAAATCGAGTGTATGGTCTTTCTAATTCTACATCTGAGCCCTTGCAAACAACTCATAATTTTTTATTTGTTAGATGCTCACAATCGATTCTAAGCACTCAAACTCTAGGTTCGAGGTGGTTTTAGATCAATAAGTTAAAGATCAAATGACCTATTATAGTGCAGATTATGAGCAACTTGGTGCTAAGACAACCAAACTTCATCAATTGTTAATGGAGATGAGATCATATATGGATAGTACAAGTACTCCCTTTTATTTGCCCCACCATCCAGGCAAAAACTTGTCTCTTCCTTCTTCTTTGATGTCTTTATTCTAAATTAATTATATTTGAACTAATAAATATTTAAATTTATAATAAATATTTGAATTTATATTAATTTATTTTTTAATTATTTTTTATTTCAGTTTAATATTTTTTTTAATAAATATTAACCTAATTAACAATTTGTCCATCAAGTTTTTGATCAACCATTAAGATGGTTCTATACCAAATAAATAGAGAAAATTTTGGGGATGCTTTGGTTTGATTTATTTTCTGTTATTCTCTTAAAATATTTTCATTCCATGATAGAATTTTCTTGGAAGTGATAAGTTTTTTTAAAAAATAATATAAATCATATCTTGGAATCATACCTAACAGTTTAAACTATTGGGTTGAGATGGTTCTTTGACATAATATCAGAATTTTAATGACCAAACGGTCACGAGTTTAAATTTTACCATCTTTATTTATTTGATAAAATTTAAGTATAAAGTAATGTAGATCTATACAAGTTTAAAAAATTTTTACTTAAGGGAATATATTAAAGAATAATATAAATTATATTTTAAAATCTTATTAATAACTTAAACTATTATATTAAAATAATTCTTTGATAAAATTTCTACTTCATTTTGAATTTGCTGGCCTACAAATAAATAAAGTATTACTCTTGATAGTATTTTCTGGGTTGACGCCAGCAGTCAACAACTTTCTTCCTTTCCCTTGGCATCGTGTTCCATGCCTTTGCAAAATATTAAAGCCTCTAATGCCTCTCTAGCAACAAGATGGTGGATATACAGCCCTCTCTGTTGTCTGTATGGAAATCACGTGTAGAAAATCATGCCTTAATTTTAATATCTTAATATATTCCTCAATTATCAGTAAAAAAACGAAGAAGAATGCAACCACCAATTAATTAATAGAAATGTTTAAGATTGAAGCAATTGAGGTTTCAATTTTTTCACAAGAAACAAGTAAATAAAAATAACAAAAAAAAATATTAAGAAAACACACACTCATTACTCTTGCAAGGCTATCAGCAAGAATATTAAGAATCAGCTGTCAAGGGGTTTGCTCTCTCTGTATTCTCAGGTTCGAGTCCTTGGTTGCTCATATGATGGCCACTGGAGGCTTACATGGTCGTTAACTTCAGGGCCCGTGGGATTAGTCGTGGTGCGCGCAAGCTGGCCCGGACACCCACGTTAATCTAAAAAAAGAATCAGCTGTCATTTATCCATCTACTAAGGGGCTTGCTATCCTGTGATCTAGGTTGAAGCCATGTCATTTTTAATATAATAATTATTGAAATCTTATATAATTATTAATTTTAAAATTTATAAGATTGGTTGAGATGTGTTCAAATTGGCCAAACATCTACTTTAATAAAAAAAATATCAATCAAGAATTAAGAAAAAAATTCACTAATAATAAGATTAAAATAAATAAATGTGTTATTTATCAAAATAATTAGAAACAGCTCCAATGCCTCTTGAATAATAAGGATTTTTTTTTAATCTTTCCAAAAATAAATAAATGTGTTGTTTATCGAAATAATTAATTTGTAGCAATTTTTATTATGATTTGGAGCTCTGTTAATTAGGCAACATTTGATTATTATCGTGATATAAAGTACAAAAATAGTAAGGACAAAAAAGATATGTTTATATGTATTTTTATTTTAAAAGTATATAATTTTAAAAACAATTTCTCTGTATTGTATTTTTAATCAGATATGTTTTTATTTTTTGAAAATACAAATAGAGGAAGAACAACCGTAGGTTCTGAGGATGTAAATAGCAGTTTCTCATTATGGCTGTGGGAAATTGCCGCTCAAGTTCTAACTTTTGGGCTTTTATCAGTAGAGGATGTTTCATTATTTTAAAAATAAATTTATTTTATTAGA